TCCAATGCCGTTCGCTGTCGTGCTCAAAAGACGCCTTTAGACACGCCGCTCTACAAACGCCATTTGTTCTCGCATCATGTAATGTGACTGATCACAACAGACGCTTTTCGAAACGCGAGTGCGGATTATAATTAAGTGCACAGGAAAATTGCCCGTCCATATGGAGGAACCATTCGTATGGAGTGGTTTTATGGTAGCCTACTCTTTAAAATCTTTCTTCTTGTAGATTGGCATTTAAATTAGTAATAGGCTACGCTTTCTTGTATTGAAAAGCTGTCTATCCCCTTTCTGTTTCAAGAACGAAAATGCTGCGTTGGAATGCCGTAAGTAAATAATGACAACATTTTAATTTTTGGATAAACTTTCCCTTTACCCTCATTTATTGTAATCGCCACTAGGTGGCAGACAACCCCTTTGTAACTGAATGCACCTTGAGAAATTGGTTGCAGTCTAATCAACAACCTTCAGAAATACGTTTCAAAAGATGAATGGTGTGTCTACGTTCAGTAATCCTGGGTTAAAATGATTCTCTAATCTTTATATAACAACATAATTTTAAGTTGCTATAATGAAGAATTCTGATATAAAAGATAAAAGCTATCACAGTATTCTGTAAGAAAAGGCAAAAACAATAACCATCCTTCTCATGCTTTCATCTTTGGAACTTCTTTCTCAACTTAAAGAAACTGAAATCACTGACAAATGCTTAATATTAAATGATTTGAAACGCTATATGTTTCATTACAGTATGTTTAAATAAATATAATGGAAATAAAACAAATTGTTTACCATCAAATTAATACATTTCACTGTCTCATCTTTCTAGAATGCATTTTTTATGTAATTATTTATTCTGCACAATTGTAAATATGTTTGTCCTTCTAGTGAAATGCTGCAATTGGGTGGAGTTTAAACACTTACAACTTCACATCTCAAGAATGAAATAAAATCAATAGGCAAAGCTTCAATTTTATGCATTTCATTTATATATATATTCACCTCCTGCCGCTCTTCTTCAAAGTACGTCCCTTATCCAGGCAAAGAGGAACAAGTTTTAAAATAAACAGCTATTTCGCCCCTTAAGCCAAGACAGGACAATGTTTGCCTTTGCTAAAATACCATTTTCCCTGGGCTTTGGGGTGTTATTTGAGGGAGTAGGGGTCCTGACAGGCTGTGACCCCTCCCTGGGCTTGGGGACAGAACACCCACTGCATATTAATAAAAGATTACTAGGGAAAATCAATGTCTGAGCAAACTCATTAAAATGCCACTTCATCTTAAATGATTTCTGTTCTTTACCTCCACTCTGTGTCTCTCTCTCTTTCTCCCCCAGTTGCTTTTCCCTAGCGGTAATTACTTTCACAAGTCGTTTTCTGCCCTTTGAGTTGCACCGTTTCACAAATGAAGGTTAAGTTTGTTTAACCGTGCTGGATTTGCTATCCATGTTAAAGCATATAATGTGGAAGGCATGACTTTGCCCACACACCTCCAGGACCCCCTCAGATTTAAAGCCCCCCTTTGCATGGTCATATGGTCCAAGGTTAAGGCCCATCTTGGGTAGACCAAGATGGAGTGGTTTCAGCATCTTGTAGGCTACACACTGGGGAGATGCTGAGGATTGCTAACAATTAATATTATAGGCCTATTGTATTTACAAAACTTATCCTTTGTCTGTGTATTTTTGTTTTGTTTCCCTCAAATGCTTTCTGGAAATATATCTAGCAGTTCTAATTGAGTAGCGAAAGATAAAGCATGCACACAATGGTTATCAACTCAAGGTCTTTTTTTAAATATAACACTACAAGTTCAGGCTTATATTCCAACTGATCAATAAAATTTCAGGGACATGTTTCTAAAACACACATAACAAGAGGGGGCTTTGTTGCTTATATTAGGGACTGCTACTGGAAGGACTTTCTTAAGAGATCACCAGGTATAAAAGACAATTTATTATTTTATTATTTATTATTTCAGTTCCTTCAAAAGGAACGTCTGGGAAAACACATTAGTGAATCAATATTCACCTTGAAAAAAACACAGCTCTCCCCATTGTACAAAATGTTGATAATATTGGTCTAATACAAAATATTTTATTGTTCTATAATATGACAATGCCACAGTGTTTCCGTTGAGGTTAGTTTGCCTTTGTGTGGGTGTCAGACAATAAAGCAGGAGCCATGCATGTATAAACCACCATTCACTTTCTTAATGCAATATCCTTTGTAATGCTTTGTAATCCTAAAAAAAAATGTCTCTGGAGTAATATCTTATGATAAACAACATGTTGGCTACATAATATATAAATATAGAATTTACATAACTGCTTGTAATACAGTTTTGTTACTTTTAAATTTATTAATTATGTTTACATATATAAGGAAATTTAACCAATTTGAAATTACAGGGATCACTAGACAGTATGGTGTCTAATTTAATAATAATATATTCAGGAAAAATGTTTTTAGGTAAGAAAGTTTAATATGTCGCTTATAATTTTAGTTATGAATAGTAAATGACATAAAAAATGTGTCATTTAAATCGCCAGGTTCTGTTAATTTATTTCATATATCCACATACGGTTTTCATGTAGGCTGTATTTAAATAAATAAATAGACTAGAAATATTATATCGGACAAGGCCATTTTTTTAAGATGATGGGAGATCCCATTATTATTCTTTTAAAATAAAGTAAATTTGATTATCACTGCAAATTAGTGAAAACATTTTTTTTTAAATGTCTATGGTTTCTATTATGTTTCAACTCAGCCCAATTTAGTGAAAAGTTGTAGGTTTCTAAAGTATTTTCATTACTAGCAGTCAAATATGGGGATATCAACGTTTGAAATACAAAAATAGAAGTTACAGAAATTTAAACAAAATGTGTTAAAACAGACACTGCAATTTACAGGATCAGTTTGCATTAAATATGCTAACCCGATCTCATGAAGGTACCTATAAATAGTACGGACTAGAAATATTATATCGGACAAGGCCATTTTTTTAAGATGATGGGAGATCCCATTATTATTCTTTTAAAATAAAGTAAATTTGATTATCACTGCAAATTAGTGAAAACATTTTTTTTTTTAAATGTCTATGGTTTCTATTATGTTTCAACTCAGCCCAATTTAGTGAAAAGTTGTAGGTTTCTAAAGTATTTTCATTACTAGCAGTCAAATATGGGGATATCAACGTTTGAAATACAAAAATAGAAGTTACAGAAATTTAAACAAAATGTGTTAAAACAGACACTGCAATTTACAGGATCAGTTTGCATTAAATATGCTAACCCGATCTCATGAAGGTACCTATAAATAGTACGCCTAATAAAAACGAAAACATCCTGGTATTGATACGCAAAAATGGACTTTGGCGTGTATATGCTACGCGATGGGTAGGATTAGGGTTGTGGGGTAGATGCGTATCATATGTACGCGAAAACTGCGTATCATATGCACGCCAACCAATTTCGTATCATATGCACGCGAAAACTGCGTATTAATATGAACGCCAAACACGTGCGTAGCATATACGCGCCAAAGACCATTTTTGCGTATCAATACGAGTTTTCGTTTTTATTTGGCGTACTATTTATATGCATTTTCGTGAGACCGGGCTGAATATGCAGTAAGCTCCTTGTCGCTATGGCGTGCAAATATTTTGCTACACAGGCAGAAAGTGTTTCTATAGGGAAAGAGAATGAGAGCAAATTAAGAAAGGGGTGAGTATGTCGTGGTTTACAGGTTTTCTCGACGTTTCATTATTCGTGAACAAGGGGCACTTGCGCTCTCTTTGATACCGAGTGCAGCTTGAGAGAGTGCACTCAAAAACAGACGCTAACAAATTTATTCTAAATTAATTAATTAATAAATAAAATAATTGGAACTATCGAGAGAGAGAGAGAAGAGGGGGGAAAGTAGTGGTAAGTTTCACTGACACGCACGCGGGATCCCAAGCTTTGAGGCTCCAGTGATGCCAGTCACCACATAATGATGTCTGATAATTACATACACATGAAAGCCTGTCTACTGAGGCAGCGAGATGGTAAAAATAGAGAAACAAATATGATTTTATCCAAAGATATATTCTCATTAATAAATACTAATTCTGATAAACATATGTGATTATTTTTATTGAATACAAAGCAACAGAAGGCATCATTTGAAAACAAAATGGTCCAGAGTAAAAGGGTTTACAGATCAACAAGCACTGTTCACATTGAATAATGGCAGAGTGTTCATAAACAGAGATTAGGTGGTTTGTAAAAAACAAAACTGAAAAAAGAAACCTGGTTTTTGCGGAGTTTTAAGTTTAGGAGATTTATGTCACTCGCTGCCTTCATTTCATCATCTGTGAGCAGACTTGAAAAAACTTAAAGGTGCAGGGAATCATCAAACTGAGTGTAATTATTTATATCAGTGTAATTTTCCAGATATCCAACAGATCCATAAGTACATAAATTCCCACTTTATCTCTTGAGCCATAAAATAATTATTTTCCTTTTTTTAAGGTGGGTGGAGGAGAGGAATGGATTGGGGTGGATTTGGAAGTGAGTAGACAGAGAGTGAAAGAAAAAAGGGATGCATGTTTGACCATCAGCGTTTACTCCTTAGTCAGACATCAAGGCATACAAACACACACCTTAGCCTTCATCTCCCCAAGGAGTTTGCTAGAGGTCATAGGGAAGGTGGAGGTCAAATGGGCCTGGATTAAATTTGATCAAACAGTGCTACAGGGGGTGTAGGTGTGTGTGTGTGTGTGTGTTTGTGAGGCTATTGTCTGCTAACTGATGCTAAATGCTCACTATGCAAACACACACACACCCACACAGGCACATACAGATATTCACACACATACATATGTAAATTCTAATATTAAGTGATGAGAAGCATGCACAGATATGCGATCAAATATTTTCCCCTCGGAAGGTGGAGGTCAAATGGGCCTGGATTAAATTTGATCAAACAGTGCTACAGGGGGTGTAGGTGTGTGTGTGTGTGTGTGTGTTTGTGAGGCTATTGTCTGCTAACTGATGCTAAATGCTCACTATGCAAACACCCACACAGGCACATACAGATATTCACACACATACATATGTAAATTCTAATATTAAGTGATGAGAAGCATGCACAGATATGCGATCAAATATTTTCCCCTCAGTCAGTCTCCAAACACCTATATTTGAAATGTCACAGAAAGTGCTGCAGGGTGCGGTCCACACCATGGAAACAGCATAGCTTGATTCGAAGATGCAGAAATACACAATGAATGCATTTGTCCTTAACTGAGACCCTGGAGATAGACACACTCTGATGGAGAACCTGGAGACTAACTTGGAATGGATTTAATTTGAACTCACTGGCTCCATTAAGACCTTTATCATCTCCCCCAGGTGTATCCAGGTAACCCCAAGGCCGACATGCTCTTAAATCCGAGACAGTCAAGGTAACAGGTAATTGCAGTGCTGCCTCGTAAAAACATCCTGTTTGCCAAAGACTGATAGCCTCCATTTAAAACTAGAGGACATATGAGGAACTGCAGCTGGATTCATTTTCTCCAAAACATCAAGATGTTTATTCTTATTTTCACATTATTTCCTGTTCTTTCATTCTCATTCAGTTTCATTTGGTTCACTTCAATTTCTCTATAGGTAAACATTATGTCTCTCTCTTTAAATATTTGATTGGACATGATAAGAGCAGGTATAATAACTAAGAACTTAATGTGGTCAAAGGCCAGCAGCCAGGTGTAAAATGAGCAAACAGCCCTGACAAACGTACACACACACACCATATTCAAATAGTCACAGTATTGTTACAAATGTTGAGAAAACACAGCCGCTGAAATAAACCAGACACCCACAGAGCAGCTACATGACAATAGCACATTAACACTGTTGGCACACATAGCCTACATGCACAATGACAACAGGTTCCTGTTTACTGCTGGCTTTGCTCACAGTCTATTTTCTCACCTTCAACAATCACTTGTTTATTTCCATCTGTAAACAAGCAACTGCACAAGCAAAATAGGAGCCATTGACACCGATAGCATAATACTCTATTTGTGTGTGTGTGTGTGTGCATTGCTTTTCACCTCCCACACACTCTCCATCTCTCTCCCCATTTCACTCTCCCTTGCTCTTCTGGTGTGATTTTGCTCCTCTGATCTTGGCATTATAAATTCATTGTGCACAGCTTGTGCTTGTAAGCTTGATTGAAGTGACGGGCTCCGATTCCTCCGGCTTGCTGACTGGAGGGTGCTATAGCAAATGGCCCGATGGCACTGTTTGGATAACACTGACCTCTCTCCCCCTGCCGCCGCGCGCGCCTAAGTGAGCGGTTTTATAGGACTCTGGCGCTCATAAGTGGAAGGGCAAAAAAAGAAAAAAAGGAGGCAATTTGATCAATTCAGAACTGGAGAGAGGAAAAAGATCTGGGCGATGGTTTCGGAGCACATTGTAATTTCCACCTGCCCCCTTTTCCTGTGAACAAAAGTGATAGCTATCAAACTCGATTGCTGAGAAGAACACAAGAGCCAAGCGCCTGATCTGCATTCTAGAAGCGCCGTTACCAGGGCGACGTACTGTATGTGGCGGGAAAAACACTCGCGCCACTCCTTAGAAATGGATATTCAGGTCTTTTGTGCCATGTCATAATTGTATTTATCAAACCAATCGTGGTCGCACGGCTCAGTGTGCCACATATGGGCAGCAGAGTGCCAATGGGTTTAAATTTAGCGATGAGTGTTGATCAAAGACAGTGAGATTAATTGAAGGGCGAGCCTGTTTGCATAAAGAGGTGTGTGGGGGTTGTTAGGATGAGTAGATTCCCTGTGACGGTCTTCAACATCTTTTCACTTTAAGCGAGGCCTCGAACTTACTCGTCTATCGCAAACCTTTTTAACGATTATTTCGTGTTAGTTTAGATACTAGTTCATTTGAGGGAATAAACGTGAAAACGGCCTGCCATAATCTCAGTGTCCTTTTGCTTAAGTGCAGTTTTTATGACATAAATCGCAGAGTCTGTCTCTTAGTTGTCTTTTTAAAATAATCATCTTTGCTGTTATGCAACATAGTACACACAAAAGTCCGTTAAAAGTTATGAGGATCGCATTTATGGCTCGTCCCTAGAAGCGGGCGCTCGTAAAATATTGTAACTCTCACATGACAGGTGCTTTTAGCACAGCGCTATTAAACCTGTTAACTGGGAGGAGCTTGACGTCTCCTGAGGATTCTCCGAGAGCAGACTTTCAAACAAGAACGTTGTTGTTGTGATTTAATTAAAACGACGGACGCCTCCCCATTGATCAAGAGGCAGGGAGGTAAAGGAGAGGGAATTCAAGTAGGTTTAGCGATTTGACAGTGTGCTGGAGTCAGCTCAATTTCCAGCAACACCTCCGTTCACACACGCACGCACGCACACACACACACACACGGATAGATGGACAGATGGATGTATGAGTGCATAGTTAGATTTGGTAGGATAATTAATTTTTATCATTTAGTGGATTAGCATATTATTTCTATGAAGGATAGTGAAAATATTTGCGTTTAACTTTTAGCACTGACATTGATTAATGGTGCTAAATAGATTTGATCAAATAAAGGGTTAATTTAGTAGGCTATAAAATCTTTGATATTTTCTATTTATCTTTTTAATCCCCAAAACGAAATGACTTCTGTAATATAAGGATACAAATTTATAACTGACTAATAAAAATATAAGCGGATATGTGTCACATATTCATAGGTCATGTGCAGGGGCGTCTTAAGATAACCAGCTGGTTATTTAATCTTCTTCCTGACAATAATTTATGTCGAATTTTGAATTTTTCTTGTTGACATGCCAGTTACCATTTACAACACTGTTCTGCTTAAAATAAGTGAATATGCAAATTCACTCTTTGCCAGAAGGTGGCGCTTGTGCAACAGCAGAATTATAGCCTTTACATAAGTAAACACTACGTTATTACAGGCATTATAAGGAGATAATATGAAAAGAAAATGCCATCAAACTTTCCTGGCCGAAATGTGAGTTTACAGGTATGATTTAAACACCATAAATTACACAAAATATTCATTATTCATCATTATCGAAACTATCACTTGGCAAGATGTCATAAATGTAGGCTATTTCGTGGTTGCTAACTGCGTTTTTATTTTGAAACATGCCTGCTACGCACATGTCTTAGCGTGCATATGATACGCAGTTTTGGCTTACATATAATACGCACCTACCCCACACCCCTAATCAGGGCTGCTGCTGGCCAAATGGGTGCCCTAAGCAGATTAGTATTGTTGTGCCCCCTCCCTCAAAAAAAAAAAACCTACTATAAGGGGTCAAAATAGAACATTGATCAAATATAAAGGTAAATAAATAAATTGCAATTCAATTGTATTATTTATAAATTACAATTGTAGCTCTAGACAGCTACCTATGGCTATGATTTTATTAATACCGTTGTCTGATTAATTTTATGGTTTCAAGCATTCAGAAATCATACAAAATAAAATAAAGCAGGTTTACTACGATAAAACCATGGTTAATTTTGGTAAGGGTTGTGATGTCCACATGTTTTTGTTGAAGAAATTAAAGAGGCTGTAGCATTTCTATTGCAAAAAGGTGGCAAATGTCAAAAAATATTTGAATTAAATGTTTGGTCAATATTAAACAAGGATTTGATCGTCCTGTAAGTTTAACAACAGCAATTATCAGGCCTTTGGTGCCCTTTGCAGGCATTTGTAATAATGTAAATTTTGTGTTACTTTATGTATTTTAACAGTGTTATTCAATGAAACCATATTTGAACCATAGGCCTATACCATATATTGCCTCGTAGTTTTTATATAATACATTTTAAGTCATGGAAACTAGAATATTAGGTCAGATACGTTGTTGTTGGTGGTGAAATTATTACCGACATTAAAACACGTTACTAACGTCAACAGTCAAAAAAGTTTCACAGGATTATGAACGTAGTTACCTGAAAGTAATGCACGGGCTTCATCTCGGGCCGTTTTCTTTTTCTTTTCATATACAGGTGCATCTCAATAAATTAGAATGTCATGGAAAAGTTCATTTATTTCAGTAATTCAACTCAAATTGTGAAACTCGTGTATTAAATAAATTCAGTGGAAGTATTCTAATTTGTTGAGAATTGGTGGGTTTTTGTTAAATGTGAGCCAAAATCATCACAATTAAAAGAACCAAAAACTTAAACTACTTCAGTCTGTGTGCATTGAATTTATTTAATACACGAGTTTCACAATTTGAGTTGAATTATTGAAATAAATTAACTTTTCCATGACATTCTAATTTATTGAGATGCACCTGTATATATACATGTTCATGTTTAGATTTTTATTTATGTATATGTATATGTTAATATTAATAGACTATAGAACGAACGTTTATTTATTTATTTATTTTTAGCAACTGGGATGGTGCCCTCCTGGGAAAATCAGAGTGAACAGTAGTCCAAATAGAAATAGAAACTCGTGGTATTTATATGCACATTCATGAGATCGGGTTAGAATATCGGTGGAACACACCGACTATGCAGACTGTGTGGGGGGAACCTAATCTGAACCATACACTATATAGCTACTACAAGCAGGGCGTCTCTGAAAATTAGTATTTTTTTACAGAATGCTGCAAACTCCCATATATACAAATTATTCAAAAAATATAATGTACATGCAGCCAGTAGGCCCCTGGGCTTCAGCCCGTTGAAGCCCGTGCGTTAATGCGCCCCTGCTCATGTGGGCTTATTTTCTTGCTGCAAGAACCCAGAACTTCATTAGAATTCGAGGTGTGTCCCGGGAACTAGGCGAGCGTTGCATTGTAGGCCTATTTGGTGGTCACTAGGAGGCGCTGTTAAACACAGCTTTGTCCCATTCTTCTCCACCAAAACTGAAATCATCTACAGGACAGGCGATTTATCCACCGCGATTACAAAACAACCAAGATGGATGAAATGCTTTACAGTGGCTTAAATATAAAATTACAAATTAGACATCCAACGTACTTTAAACCTGAAAAATTATTTACAGAGAGACATTAATTGTGCTTTATAATACACAAAGGCCTACAAGTGACTGATCTACAAGCTCCACCACACTCTGCTGAAATAAGTGTTGGAATTACTTATTTGAACCGTTTTAGTGTTGAATGAAGCTGTTTTTTGCAATCAATCACAGATCTGGAAACCCATTGTAAGCTGTAATTTTGTATATCTGGACCACGAATTAATAATAATAATTAAAAAATAACAATGAAAAAACTGCTAATAAAATAACGTTTTATTAAAAAAAATAAAAGGAAACTAAATAATTTGAGATGCACAGCATTAACATATTAAGAATATGACTTGATTTATATTTCTGTTTAATTATATTTTGATTTATATTTCTTCTTGATTTATATCTCTTGTCTTCCTGTATACAGTTATAGGCCTATAAGCATTTCCTCAGAATGCATAATAATAAATAGGCCTACAAATAGCCTACAATAGGCCTATTCTACATCCATCGAATAGTATTTTTTAGCAACCGCAAACTATAGTGAATAAAGTTTAAGTCAATATTTTGGATTTGGTGTGCCGGTTGACCTAAATTAAACTCGGCAGACTCATGAGAAAATAATACGGGAGGCTCAGAAAAGATCGAAGTAGAAGAAAACCAAGTGATTCAAGAATTTTCACGCGGTTCCCTATAGAAACGTCTTAATACCAGTGAAGGACATTGTCCTCCTGGTCACCACTTAGCGTCGATATTTCAATGGAATGCAAATCTAGGGGTCTACAGGGCTTGCTATGGGTGATCCATTGATTTGGGATGAATACAGTGACTACTTTCAACCTCTTCACAGTTATTAGGCCTAACAGAAAAACATAAAATAAAGGGAAGAAAAAGAAGAAGGGATCCGCTCAAATGGTGCGAATTGCTCGCCTCCTCCAAGCCCTCTCCCAACAGTTTGGCCAGCAATTTGCATTCCTTTGTACGACAACTTGTAATCCTCCCCTCAGCATGCCAAGAAACACATAACAGATTTATTGTCCCAGTCAACAAATCGTTTAGGTCATCCCAAACCTATTACAGCCTAATGCAGCGAGAGAGAGCCTCCAGACCCAGATCTCCCCTCGGTCTCATCACACGAACCAGTGGTTTCCAAACACCGATGAGGAGCCCAGAGCACGGCCGCTTTGTTGAGACCCCAATCTATTCATGCCAAATACACTTCTGAGGACTAAACCACTTCTCGAGGTGGGCTGGAAGGGAAATGAACACGGCGGATTCTCAGGCCTGGCTGCCCTTCT